ACGCGGAGAGGAGGAGGGGAGAGCCGCCACCACACGCCCTGGGAAGGAAAACCCCGCGAGTGAAGCCCTCGGTCTTGTCCCTTTGCAGCACAGATACTTCACGTGCGAGAAGAGGAGCAAAGCCATCAAGCACATCAAGGAGGCGTTCGAGAAGGTAAGGTCCCCGCTCGCGTGGCTGCGCTCAGGCGGGGAGGGCTCCACCATCCCGGGCGAGGCAGTAGGTTTTGCTGTCGGTTTCGACTTAGGACGCAGAACTGAATCAAAAAACTTCTTGAATTGTACAAATACCTAAGGCGGGCTGGGCAGCAAAGCTGGCGATGTTGGTGGAAGGAGGCTATGCCCAGCAATGGCACATGGCGCCTTATCGTCACATCCAGACTTAAACGGACTTGGCTTTCACCTGCAGATGAATGAGAAAGGAATCTACAAGGCCATGGGAGAATTTGACATCTTCATCAACTACATCGAAGAGTACTTGCTGATGAAGAGAAAAAAGTGAAAAAGCCCGTAGATCTGCATCGTACACACAAAATCCTGCTTTTTTTTTTTTTTTTTTTTTTTTCCCCCAAAAATCACTTTAGGCTGCAAGAGCACAGATTAAGTTATCTTAGGATTCAGGTCAAGAATTACAGGTCAATAGCTTCCAGTTTATTTTTATATTTAAAAGTTATTTTTATAACAACTGAATTTAATATTTATTATTTCTAATACCTCAGTGTTTATGTTTACAATATGTTTTGAAGATAAGCGTGATGAGTTTGTAAAATCCTATTTATTGTTCAATATTCTAATACTGTTTATGATAGTGCTATTTTATTCATAGCTTCAAAACACCCAAAGCAGTGTTCTTCTGAGGAGCTGATAATGAGCAGAGCTTATCCTAAGTGCAGTTTCACTGTGACCTGGATCAGGAACCATTCCAGCTCTGGATTCAGCAAAGACTAAATTAAAAAATAGTAGTATGAATGAAATGTTTGGTTCTAATAGAACTTGACTTCAGTGTTGCTAATAATGGACTCCCAGAGCTGCTGGGTTGTCCATTCTGCACTTTCAGAATCTAATCTTACTATTTTCCAGTCTTTGATTGGGTTTTACTTGCTGGTTTGTTGGTTGTTGTTGTGGTTTGTTTTTTTCCTTTCCTTTTAAAAGTTAGATGATATTTAATTAACCACCATTTTAAGGTGGCTTGGGTAATTTGCATTCAAATTACTAGAGCTGCAAGCAGCACTGACAATATTCGGGTTTGTGGTGTTTCTCGCCCTGTGCTTGAGGGGCTGCAGCACCCCCAGTCTCCTGCGTGACCCTCAGCCAGGGGGAAATGCCATCACCGTGTTTTTCTTCTAATATTTAGAAGTATTAGGGCACCAATACGATGACATGCCTGTCAGTTTGTTGTTTGCTTTGTAAGTTACCGCTGAAGAGAGGCTATTTATGCTCGATCTATTCTATTTTTAACATTTATGGTGACAGAAGGGCATTCCCCCTGGCAGCCTGCCTGCATGGTTGTCCTGGAGCAAGGGCAGCACTTTTTTTTCCCGGGACGCTCCTTCCCCTGCAAACAGCCGGGTGGCAGTGGCTCAAGGGCAGCGTGGGGGCTGAACACTGGAAAAATTACATCAACCTTCTTACCAGCACACGTTAAGCTCCTGTTGAATCAACTTGCTGCTCAGTTCTCCACCAAACGCCGTGGCTTCAGTGTTGTAGGGGAAGCAAGAACAGCAAGAGCATCCTCAGCTCCGCTCCCAGGGGGGTGTCACCGCGCCTTGTGGCCACAGCTTCTGTCACTGTGTGAACTTTTGCATGTTTATCTGTATGAAAAGAAATCTTTTATTTTTGCTAATAAAGATCTCCTGATGACTAAAGCCTCTGTTCTGTTCTTGCAAGTTATTCACAAGGCTGTAGACCACCACCAGCATCACCACGCCGTGAGCAGGGAAGTGAGAAGGCTCAAGGTCCTTACAGTTAAATGCAAATTTCTAACAAAATTTGCAGGAACAAAATACCTGCCAGTGATTTCTTAGAGTAAAGAGTACTCCCATCGGCCACTCCAGCCTCCAGCTTCAGTCATTGCCCTTTTCAGAGCAGGGTTTCCACTTAAATAACTGGTTACACACCGAGTGACATCGATAATCACCATGGATTAACATCCCAGTGCCATCCTCCCTCTGAATTATAGGAGGTAGCACTGCTGCCTCTGCCCACCTACCGAGATGCTTTTAATTTAACGTTTTTTCTCGGTCAGAACGAGGCTTTAACCCTAGGGCAGACTCCAGCTGAACACAAGACCAATACAAACTAACAGCAGAGCTGCTGGCTCTTCTGCAGGCGTGGGCATCTACACACGTGGATCCGTACGGGCGGCAGCTGAATCCCCAAAACCAAGCGGGCACGCACGTGGGAATTTCTGGCTCTGTTACTAGTGAAGCCAGAATTCAACCGGTGTAACCAGTTCCAAACTCCAGCTCCCAGCGGCAGCCGGCAGGTACCTGCCTGGACACGTTCCTCTTTCACTTTCGAGCCTGTTTTGTTTTCACTGCTCTTAGCCCTTTACCTGCAAGTCCAGCAGACTCCAGGTGTTTATTTGCAGCCAGGGTTCCTTTCCTCGCTGCATTAGAAACAAAACAAACAAAAAAATCCATTAATACAACAATTTCTAAGGCTGTTTCTGCCGAGACTTCAGTCCAGTGTCATTCAGCAGAATTGCTCAAGTTGCCCCAAGAGATTATTTGTGTTCTCAGTAAAACCTAGGTTTAAAAGCACTGCTCAAAGCTTCACCCCAGGCAGACCTGGTCCGCACTCTCCCCTGACCCCTCTGCACCTGTTTGTATCCCATTTCTACAATGTGTCTTTTACAGAGCTCGAAGCAGGAGCCCAAGGGCCCTCGTGAATGAAACTGGACTCTGCCCTGCGTGGAGAAAAAGGCAGCATCAGCTTAGCTGCGGCAAGTTTTTCAGTAAAGCTCAGTCACTTTGGTTAAAGTAACCACAGGAAGGAAGCAGATGGGATGCCTCTTGCTGTACAGAAAACAAAGGTTTCCAGTTACCTGATGCTACACGAGTTGCGTGATACGGAAGAAAACGGAGGCAGAGCAAGTCAGCAATCTGGGATGGGATGCTCATGGGGGCACCAGGAGCTGGCACGATGAGGAGGTGCAGCATCACTCCTCCGAAATGGGGTTGGGAACCTGGAGGGACTGCGGGGAGGTGCTGCAGGGCTCCCAGCCAGGGGCACGGCTTCGCTCAAGGGATGAGGAACAAAAGCCAGGGCACATTCAGTGCTAGATGGCCATGCACGCCACGTGCAAAAAACTCTGTGACGTTTGTCACCAAAACACAGGGATGTTTGCAGCATGACCCAGATCCGGTGGGCAAAAGCACACAAACGCACTGCTGACTAAAAGTATGTATCATCTGCAAGGCATTTTAGGACTGCTGCTCTGGAAGTTCCAGCAGAAGACATCTAGGCAACCAAAGACACCATCTACCATGGAGAAGTAACCAGCAGAGCAATAATCACTATGACTCATTTCTGCCATGTCCTCAAGCAGCCTTTTCCCATTGCTAGACCAGCCCTGCCCACAGCAGTCCCTCCCCGCCAGGATGCACTGCTTTAAAGGAAAAAAAAAAAAGGAAAAAAAAAAAAAGGAATAAAGACAAAAGCCCAAAGGGCAGCCGGCAGAGCTGACAGACCCCAGGCACCATGATAAGTCATCCATGTGACTCGTGACTCCTACCTTGAACTAGAATCCTGTCAGCAGCACCACCCCCAAACAAGAAGCCAATATAACCCAATATTTTACTACGGCAGCGTGACACCATCGCTGTACGAGCTCTGTGCCGAGGTGGAGCACTGGGCTGCCTGCTGGATCCCACAAGGGCCAGGCGAGTCGCAGGGTGAGACCGACCCTGGGAACAGCATCCCCTCTGCAGAATGAAACGGGACAGTGCTCCCCTGCACACCTGAAACGGGACAGTGCTCCCCTGCACACCTCCTGGGCGTGCAACCTGCTGGTTTTCCTGAAAGCTGCTGCACTGGGGAGGCTGCACTCCCCGGCGCGCTGCGTTATCCCCCATCGCTTAGTGCTGATGTAGTTCCTGCCATTCTCGGTGTCAGGCTGGGTGTTACAGGAACGGCACGAGACTCTCACATAGACCAGAGGTGGTGGTTTTCTGTTCTTTTATCCCGCAGAAGCAAATGGTTTCCTTGCTGGTTATCTTACTTGTGAGAGTTCAAGTTGACTTACCCAGGAGCTGCTCACCCGGCCTCAGTTGCTCCTGCCTGCCTAAGCCAGGCTGAGCTGCTCACCTGCCAAACGTTCTGTCTCCATCAGGCAACGCTTGTGCTACAAAGATTTCCATCTGGTGGGGGATGCATGTGGTTAAGCTACGTTTGTGGGCTAAAAATACGAACGTTCAAATATTAAACCCTGGAGGAAAAGGGCTTTGCGGCACAGGACCAGCCAACGGGGACAACTCACCATGGTCAGCAAAGTCCAGGCTTGCCCAACCGTGGGAGTTTTCACAGTGAAATCATCACCAGTGATTGCCAGAGCAGGAACATCAGCTTTCGTCCCCTCTGCCAGCGGCACGACCTTGGCAAGGTGCTGCAGTGCGGGCAGTCACTCACTTCTGCCACTGCTTTTCCCTCCTCATCAGAGAGAAGCCCGGCTTGCAGGAAGATGCAACACCCAGGCAGAGGAAAGGGAGCGTGAGTGTTGGGTTTGCACAGGGACAAAATTAGTGGCTTCCTAAGGGCTTTAGTTTAATTGCTGCAACTCGTGCGCAAGCACATGCGGACAAGACTCGCGAGGACTCCAGAAGAGCCCGAGCATCAGCTGCTCCCTGGTACAGAAGCAAGTTTCACTTCAAATAAGGAACATGCCAAGAATGGCAACACACAAGAGTATCTGCTGCCTGAAGGAGCTGTTTCTTCTGCTTCTTCTTTCTTGTCTTTAGAAACTTCCCTGAAAGCCATTAAGAACCCTGGTACTGGACAGTATGAACTTGCTGGCGAGAAAGCAATTAATCTTCTTTGTCATCTCCTGTTGGCCAACACAGTGAGGGTAGATGAGCTGATCCCAGCTGCACTGGTGGAAGAGTCTCCTGAACACAGCAGAGCAGAGACAGGCTCGTACTTGAGTGGGCTGGGCATGAGGAACAAAACCTTGCTGGCCTCTTTCTTGTAACGAGAAAAAAAAAAGTGTCTCTTGACATGAGGAAGATGAGCAGCTTCTCCAGGACCTTTCAGCCTCCTGGCATGTCATGAGGATCAGGGAGCCAGCCTGCAGCAATAGGAGGGACCTTAAGCATTAAAGGAGCAAAAATCAAAACAAGCAAAGTCTGTTTTAACTATTTTTGAATTGCAAGGGCTTTCAGAACTTTCCTGATTTCAGTTGTGGTTACAGCTTGTTATTTAATTTTAACTGACTGTACCACTCAGCCCCACGCGGCTCGTGCCTCTCCGTGCCCTAGATTTTAGCAGCACGTGACTGAAATTGGG